GCAGCAGCAGCAGCATCATCGAGAACGGGTCAACAGTCTCGATAAAACGAACCCGCCAGCCTTTTATCAGAGTTCCATGCATCCGAGAAATATGAATAAGCAGCCACAGGATGGCACAGGTAGCATAGGTAGGAGGCATCACGGATGCTCGGCGTCGCTCTCGGAGGCAAATGTCAGGGACGTGTATGGTGCAATGTTATCCGAGAGGAACGATCCCGCCAAGAGCCTTGGCAGGGCTGCCGGCATACACAGTGGTGGTAATTCAACGAAGCAAAAAGGCGGTCTCGAGGCGGTGGAGCGCGAGAGAGAGCGGGACCGCGACAGGGAGAAGGAATATAGGCGAAACACAGCGTGCAATAACTCACTGGACTGTAAGCGAGATAATCTTTCAGTTTCTTTCGCCATCTTCCGGTGTATGTCTTTTGTAATATATGGTTGATTATTATTTTGCAAGGTGTACCGCAGCCGCTGGGTCGCAGTTACAGTTTTGTGCAACAGCAAAAACAGCAGCAAAAACTAATGCAGCAACAACTACTTCAGCAACAACAACAACAACAGCAGCAAGTTAGAAGAAGAGAACGGGACGACGATGCCATGCACGAACGTTATTTGATGATAAGTCAAACCCACGAGCAATCCAGACAGAGACTCAGCAGTAATACTAGCAGTAGTAACAGTAGTAACAGCAGCAGCAATAGTGCCGCGGGCGAGGAGACTGAGGGTCATGCCGAGGGAGACGACAGCAAGAAGAAGAGGAGTAACGGAAATCCCAGTCCGCCACCGTCACCATATTACGGCAATCTTCTGGCTGATGCCGATCACTTATTACCATTGCAACATTATATCCTTCAACAGGCGAAATTATCAGGTAATGAAAGCCGAGAATTTTAATATTGACAGCTTTATAATTTATAAGATAGAGCTTGTTTCTTACTATTCATTTTCTTTTTTTCACAATGTGTAGGTTGTTACAAGTTTGGAGATCCTTTATTAGTAGAGGAAGGGGAAGATTCTCTGGACGAGGAAGGTGGTAGGGGCGAAGGTATCGGCGGAAGAGGTGATGACGATTCCGATGATCAATTCGCTGATGACGAAGCCGCCAGCAATCAAGGCGATTCCTCCAGTCAAGAATATCTCGAGGATCATTATGCGGGTAAGAAATCATTTCTAAGAGCGCAAAATATAATCCGTTTATCGAACATATAATTTAAACAGTGTATTCCATCATTCGATTAGATTTAGGAAATTACGACACCGCCGGATTAGCGACTTATTACACCACGGCTGACACGTTGACGAGGCCACAAGCACGACCGCCCTCGCCACCGAATATTGTGTCTCAGACGGAAGCCAGAGACAGCGTGGTAACCACGAGACAGATCTCGATGCCCACTGTAAGTTCAACTCCGAGTATCTGTACGACGAATGTTGATAATACTGACTTGGACGAAGCGCGAAGAGACGACAGTACGGGTGGCGGCGACATAGAGAAGTACGCGCAGGACAATCTCAATCTGAACTGCGGCAGGCCAAAGGGACTTAGGTTGTTGTTTCGAAAGAAATTTAGCGTACGAGACATTCTCAGCTGGTCGAAAGACCCGATACCTCAACCCATGCTTGCGATGGTGGATGGTGAGAAGCCGCTTAAGAGAGAGGCTTGCAATTTGTTCCGATTGGTCCAAGTGTACATGGGCGATCGCAAGGCCAACGTTGGCATGACATTGGACGGTGTCGCCATGGATATTGTGAATACCGCATTCACGAAGCCGCCCTTGCGGGACGAGTTGTACGTACAGATCTGCAGGCAAACGACGGAGAATCCACGGAAGGAGAGTCTGCGACGTGGATGGGAACTGATGGCTGTGTGTCTGGCTTTTGTACCGCCTAGCGCCACGTTTGAACCTTACCTGGAGGGTTACATGAACAGGCATCGCGATCCCAACTTCCAATTCCCCGAGGTTGCCAAGTGGCCGATACACGTACAAGTCAGCCATTACGCGACCGTAGCTTGTAGGCGACTGCAACGGATCGGCGTGCACGGCAAACGACAACCTCGCAAGGCTACAGTGGAGGATATCGATCAAGCGAGGGTAATTAATTGCACCGATAATTGACAATTTTTTGATGATTGTTAAAGAGTTTGATGTATGCTTCCGTGCTTTTTTTGCAGATACAAATCTTTCGCGCGTCCATGTTCGGTGCAACGCTCTCGGAAGTTATGGCTTTACAAAGGGACCGCTTTCCACTTAGAGAGTTACCATGGATACAGACTACGCTGACGCATCAAGTGTTGGTGCGCGGTGGCACGCTGACCGAAGGTATCTTCCGGGTTTCTGCGGACGCCGACGAAGTCAGCGCGTTGAAATCCTGCTTGGACAGGTTCGAAGACGGAGCGATTCTGGCAGTTTCTCAGGATGCTCACGCACCTGCTTCTCTACTGAAATTATGGGTGCGCGAGCTGTACGAGCCGCTAATACCGGATTCCTTCTATGTGGAATGCGTGTCTATGCGGCATGACGATCCGAAAGCCTCTGCGGCGACCGTGGTCGCACTTGTCGACCGTTTGCCGGATCTTAACCGTCGCGTGCTGTGTCATCTAATACATTTCCTGCAGGTAAGAAGCCATTTTATTCAATAAAAAAACGTTCAATGGTCGTGCTGTGTAAAATTGTATGATCCGAAATTTTTCTTTGCATCAAATCAAAAAAATCATACTCTTTGAAAAAAGTTTAAAACTATATAGAGCAATATATATTTAGCGCCAAATGCACGGTGAGAGCAATCTAGCTTCTATGAAAGTTTAAGAGCTAGTATGTATCCATTGTTCAAGTCTAGAATTATATGTAGCAGCATTTACTGGTGTTAACGCACGAGAATATACGAGAGTTCAAGAGCAGCATGCATTCGAAGCACCGTTGAATTAAATCGAATCAACATCTTTCGATGAATCGTTTGCCACGATATTGTAACAATTTTCCAGATATTCGCTAGATCCGAGGTGGTCGTTCGCACTAAAATGGACGCCAATAATCTTGCGATGGTGATGGCGCCGAATGTATTGCGGTGCACGTCCCAAGATCCTCGGGTGATCTTAGAAAACGCACGGAAGGAGATGGCCTTCGTCCGTACTCTCATCGAGTCACTAGATACCTCTTGGGTCGATGATCTTCACTGACCGCATCCTATCGCGCTAGAAAAAAAGTCCGCTCTAGACTATTATGCCAAATGAATCAGCTGTATAGTCACGTCTATTGTTAGTTACATCTTTCTCTCTCTCTCTCTCTCTCTCTATCTCTCACTATTCTCAATTTATCTTCACTCTTCTTGTTTGTCCATCGCGTCACCGATTTCTCCCATAGTCCTCTATATAAATGTTCTTCGTAACGGTAATTTAGTGCTAAAGTCTTACCAACCAAGCTAATCAACCAATCCGCTCCCTTATTTTCTATTTATTATTTATATGCAGATTCTATGTTAAACGACAGATTAGAGATTATTAGATTATATTATGTATATCGCTATATATATATATCATATATATTTTACCAATCCCTTGTTACCGCGTCGAACAAACGTGGACGGCTTTTTTACTCGATCATTGTTGAATCTCGTGTAAGATAAAAAAAGAAATCATGTGTTACCGTGTATAGCTGCGCTCCGCGATGATCTTTTTGTATAAGCGACGGATTAACGTGTAAAGCGTTTTATCGAGGAGTAAACACTGCGAAAGATTAGCAAGCTGTAGTCATAAGAGTGTTTTTTTCGATTTTCCCCGAGATCCTTAAAAAGAGGCACACATTTCGCTCAAAAAAAGTTCCATATAAAAATCATACATATTTATAAAAAAAAATATCCCTGTTTTATTTTTATGCAACAGTATATCCACACTTATAACTAATATAACCTTTACTTTTTACATTGCAACAGATAGATATAAAAACAGAGTTTATAAAAAAGTATTCTTTAGTATTCGTTATTATAACAAAAATTGCCTTCCGTTATATGTTTTTTGTACAATTCATTTATAAAGACTATGGACAACTCTTTACTCAGTACAGTTTGTCATCCTTGAGAAACCGCATTACGCGCGTTTCTCTTGGTTTCTAAAGTTATAAGAGAATATCACAAGCTATTATCATATTCGTGAAAGACAATATGATAATAATAACCATCGTACAAGAAGCTATGTATTAATATACATAATACATAGATTGACGGCTTAGTAAGAGCCTTACAGTAGCAAAACTCTAATCACATATGAAAGAGAGATTAGTTTTACGTGTAACGTTATATATACAACATGTACACATAGTAATTGTAACTCGATAATATAAATTATTATTATAAATTATTAAAAAATGAATTGTGATCACAGACTTCTATATATATACTTCTATATAGTATACAAAAGTCTGTAGTTGTGATAAAATAAAAAACAATTCACGATCAAGTTTTGACTAACTCTGACTCGACACTTCTTCGGCAATCATTTTCCAAATTGCTTCATCAGGTTTCTGAGAACTTGATCATGAGTTGCTTTTTTATATAGTACAATTCATATTTCGACGATTTAAAATAATAAAATATTTAATATTGTCGGATTACGATATAATTGATCAATATTAATACTGAAATAACCGTTTGTGTTATCAGAAAAACTGCGAAAAGCCAAAGACTTTTCCGTCAAGAATACACGCGCTCGCGTGCAAAATATCGTGTTTAGCAAGCTAAAAATTTCTTCTACTGCGTCTTTGATCTCTGCGCCGACTGGATAAATCTCTAGGAACTCGATTAAGCGATGAATCTATTGCGACAGTCATCATCCGACGAGATTCTCGAGTTTGAAATGTTTATTAGTATCGCACCGAGGACCGTGTTTGAAGAAAGCGACGGATCGGTCGCGATAAATAGAAAGAAAGCAAGTCAAACACATAAAACGTTCCTTCCCCCATCGTATATCATCGGCGAAAGAAATATTACGTGATTATGATAGACGGAACTCTTGCGTTTTTTTTTTTTTTCCACTTCGCTTCATCATCGGCCGTGACTTTCGAGAGTCATCTGCCTCCGGGTGGACGCAGCTGTCGGCATTTTATAATTACTGCGCGGTCGAATAACGTTTCTCGCGCCTCGGGGAACACGATCGTCAACAATTGTCGACGAATGTGGCGGTGGATCCACTCGCAATCTCCGCGTATTCCTGTCTGCTGGCCGAGCAGAGCTTGCTGGTGAAATCCGTATCCCGTTTTCTAAACACAAGCGAGAAACAAGATTAAATTATATACCAGAAAGATCGCCTCTGAGAAAATCGGCGCGATGCCGATCTTTCTCGCGGAATGTCAGAACAATGATGGTATCAAACTTGGATGTGCGGATATGCTTTAATTTATAAACATGCGTTCTTGCAACGAGATATTATCGCAATTTCTTTCTTCATACGCGGTACCGCATTTTAAAGAAGCTTGTGGACCGTCATTCTTCTGACACCTTTGTATGTTCCCTCACCCTCTGCCTGGAAGGTCCATGGCGTCCACGCTGACGCTGTTGACGTACAGTCGGTCGTTGCACCAAAAGAAGCACAAGGATCTAGGTTGCAGCACGTCCATATCGTACACCCAGGAGAGCTCGATCCGCCTGACTTTACCGATGTTGCCGATAGAACCGGTCGGATGGGCCACGACTATCCGCGCGGTCGTCCCGTGCTCCAGCTTCATGTAACCGCTGCGAGAGATGAACAACGGCACTGTTAGGACTCGGAAGGAGGAGAGTCGTCGGATGCGAATTATAGTTATAAGTAGTAGTTTACAGAATATATATCTGCCGCGATTTCGACGTGTCATCGAGCGGGGAAACTCCGTAAGAATGTGGGTTCTCGAAATACTGATAATATCGCTGACAATTGTCATTACTTACCTGGGCGTGAGATCCATGTTGCGTATCACGCCTTTGTCGGCGTGGAGAGTAACTTTCATGAAGCCTTGCACCCAGCTCTCCGCGGTCGGCGGTCGCGCGAGGTTGACGGTGATTCTGTAATGTCTCCCTGAAAAAACGGATTACAGATAAATATCGGAGAGTATTTCGAGATCGGAGAGATGCGTCGTCGCTTTTATCATGCGCGCCCACGGAGAAAGTCGCGATAGTGAAAAGCTGCATTGCTCGTCGCGTGTGACTGGTATGTAGTAAAATAATATAGTGATGCGCGTCGTAGCGGTATTTTCTTCTTTTTTTTTTTCTCGCATCGAAGGATTAACGAATGTGCCTGTGCACGATAGATGAAATAAACATCGATTCATATTAACGTTTGCATATTATAATATGGAAAGCATTTTTAAAGTTTAGCGATATTCCTTGTTTGACACACGTTTTACGATGTCGTAATGCCGATTTATAAGAGAACGCTATAATAGAAAGCTAATACTCGATGATATTTTTAAATATAGTGCTTACTATGTGTATATATACTGAAAAAAAACAGCAGCTGTCATACGTTTTAATTCCAAGACATCGAATATAAAATGATTGCACATCGCATGATTTTACATATCATATATCGGAAGGATTATGTAAGATGTCTTACTGGACGATAGGTTCTTTGGTTAATTTGGAATCGACTTTTTGTTAACGAAAATATCGAGACATCAATAATTTTCTAGTTTTAAATACGATTGTGAGAAAAAAATGTTTTTCGTCAATTAAATTTTGGGAAGAGCTGAACTTTAATTTCAAGTGGAGTTTAATAAAATTTTAATTTAAAGCTTACAGTTACAAAGAGATATGGTATAAAAATTAGAAATAATGAAAAACTCTAAAATTCACCAAAAAAGCCTATTGAATGAATATTTAATGGCTTGAAACATTTTATATGGCTAGTCTGAATTATACATAACGCGCGAGCTTCGTACTTACTGCAGTACGGATCTTCCTTGCCGGTCATGAAGAAGAACTTGGACCCTAGCAAGGACGAGACGTCCTGTCCCATGGCCTGGCGTTTGACAAGTGCTGGACTGGTGTCGGCGTGATAGCCCATCACGCCGCAGCTTAGGCTGTTGTTGCTCTTGCAAGAGAAGCACTCGCCGCGCAGAAAGCTCGCATAGCTCGAGCATTCGTGCGCCACGTACTGACATTTGGAATTGATGCTCTCGATGAAGAGCTTGAGCGCGCGCACATGATTGCAGGCGACCAGGACGCGCGAAGCCTCCTCAAGACCCTCGCGTATTAAAGTCAGCGGCAACGACGGCGTGGTCTCGCTCAAATCCGTGCAGCCCGGCTGCTCCTTGCCGTTGTTCGGGTAGAAGTCCAAGTGTCCGCACGGCTGGCTCATGCCGTACCCTGGAAGACCTTGTTGTGTACTACACGTTAGTTTCGACAATTGTCATTCACGATGGAGAGAGGAGCGAAACTCCTATTATTCGAGAGCATTTATTAAAACAATAATTATTTTTTTTAATCGGTTTTAATATAATAAGACTAAATGGAAAAATCAACTTTGCTCGAAAGAATATTTCTCTTATTATTACATTTTGAAAGATCTATATATTCGGGCACATCTAGTTTTAATTTATATATACTTAAATTTATTTAATTTTTTATAAACTTTTATTCGAATATATTTTTATTTCACTGTATGAAAAATATTATTTATTCTATTGCTCTTCGTTTCTAGTTTTCTCATTTTGTGTACGGTTGAGTCAAATAAGAATTATATTTGAGAAACAATAATGTTTACCTAAGAAAAAGATGCTCTTTCCGTCGGTGTGAATTACGTCCACTAATCGAGCGTCTGTGGGATCTAGACGAAGATGGTTCGGCATTTTTTTTTTTTCTTCATATTAGACAGTATGACAGTATCATGCAAATATCGTTAATTTATTAATATTGCAATCATATGGAGAAAGAGTGAAAGAGAGAGAAAGAAAAAACACAATATCTTAATATCTTACAAATATTACGTTCTTGGTATTTAATTTCACAGTTGTGTTGAAAATATATCAAGTTACCTAAAAAGAAATATATAAATCTAATTTAGCGTGCGTTTCTTACTTGCAAATGCTTAATGAGATGAGCTAACTCGAGCCCAACTAATCTCGTATTCGCTGTCGCTTGGGTGTACAAAGGTAAGCTCCCGCCTGCCCAATCGACCACGATAACGTTGTAATTGCCATGCACTAACAATTCGCTCCTCATCTCCTGCGGGTGATCCATATTTCGAGAATAAATGCGGGTATAATTTTCGCCAATTGCTTAAGAGCTATCTAGGATATTGGATATAACTATGTCATCAGGTCGCATAAATTTATTTGCAACAGTAATGCAATGTGTGTGGCAGAAAAATGCGTTTCTTTAGCAATTTAATCCAGCAGCTCGCGATGGATGATGTGATAATAAACCGAAGATGTATATGTGATTAATACTGTACGAAATATTTGATTGCAGCACGTAATGCAAGATTTCAATAAAAAATCCGGGATAAATAATTATATATAAATAAAATAACGAGCGAGATATACATATATATATATATATATAAATAAAGTAAACTTACCTTGACCCAATTGCTGAGTGGCGTGTCTATAAAACCGTGTATAATGAATTTGGTTTTTCGCTTAGGATTGAAGTTGGAGTTTTCGATGGATTTATCCTTAGCTACTTTTAATATTTGACCCTGAAAGAATCAAAACAAGTTGTTATTGAGTAATTCGATAGTCTATTAAAAAGTAGAATCGATCATTCAAGGTATTTAAGAAGCTTGTTTAGAAAAATAAGATTGCCTTTCGAAATATTTGTTTTAAAAATGACGTATATAAATTTCGTTTTTATTAGTCTACTGCGATAATACGTTAATAATAACACGAATTATTCCAAATCTTTAGATGCATATATCATCAAGCAAAAAATGATAATAAGAATTTTTTTATCAAATTTATTTTATCAAAAAGTATTGTGTATATAATATATATATATATAATTTACAAAAGTATTTCTTTCAATTTCATGATTCAGCGATTTTATGCGGGTATAGATACGTTATGCGACAAAGGTGTGCGTGTTTTCACTGCCGCTGATATCGTATTCGATACTTATCTCACAGCGGGCTTCCTTCTAGAATATCCATTAAATTACAAATCAGAGATTTTATCTTTTACGGATATGTATACAAAAAATAACGAACTGCACTCGCACTCGCGCCCCGCGGAGCGCGTCACGCGTTCGCCAGCTGCATAATTTTGTTTAATTAATTGAGTTAATTAAGATATCTCCACGGGGATTAAGCACCGACGTCTCGCTGGCCGCTCGCGATCGAACGGGCACGATAAGACCGGATATTTGTTTCTCTCTCTTTCTCAGAAGATGAAATAAACATCGATTCATATTAACGTTTGCATATTATAATATGGAAAGCATTTTTAAAGTTTAGCGATATTCCTTGTTTGACACACGTTTTACGATGTCGTAATGCCGATTTATAAGAGAACGCTATAATAGAAAGCTAATACTCGATGATATTTTTAAATATAGTGCTTACTATGTGTATATATACTGAAAAAAAACAGCAGCTGTCATACGTTTTAATTCCAAGACATCGAATATAAAATGATTGCACATCGCATGATTTTACATATCATATATCGGAAGGATTATGTAAGATGTCTTACTGGACGATAGGTTCTTTGGTTAATTTGGAATCGACTTTTTGTTAACGAAAATATCGAGACATCAATAATTTTCTAGTTTTAAATACGATTGTGAGAAAAAAATGTTTTTCGTCAATTAAATTTTGGGAAGAGCTGAACTTTAATTTCAAGTGGAGTTTAATAAAATTTTAATTTAAAGCTTACAGTTACAAAGAGATATGGTATAAAAATTAGAAATAATGAAAAACTCTAAAATTCACCAAAAAAGCCTATTGAATGAATATTTAATGGCTTGAAACATTTTATATGGCTAGTCTGAATTATACATAACGCGCGAGCTTCGTACTTACTGCAGTACGGATCTTCCTTGCCGGTCATGAAGAAGAACTTGGACCCTAGCAAGGACGAGACGTCCTGTCCCATGGCCTGGCGTTTGACAAGTGCTGGACTGGTGTCGGCGTGATAGCCCATCACGCCGCAGCTTAGGCTGTTGTTGCTCTTGCAAGAGAAGCACTCGCCGCGCAGAAAGCTCGCATAGCTCGAGCATTCGTGCGCCACGTACTGACATTTGGAATTGATGCTCTCGATGAAGAGCTTGAGCGCGCGCACATGATTGCAGGCGACCAGGACGCGCGAAGCCTCCTCAAGACCCTCGCGTATTAAAGTCAGCGGCAACGACGGCGTGGTCTCGCTCAAATCCGTGCAGCCCGGCTGCTCCTTGCCGTTGTTCGGGTAGAAGTCCAAGTGTCCGCACGGCTGGCTCATGCCGTACCCTGGAAGACCTTGTTGTGTACTACACGTTAGTTTCGACAATTGTCATTCACGATGGAGAGAGGAGCGAAACTCCTATTATTCGAGAGCATTTATTAAAACAATAATTATTTTTTTTAATCGGTTTTAATATAATAAGACTAAATGGAAAAATCAACTTTGCTCGAAAGAATATTTCTCTTATTATTACATTTTGAAAGATCTATATATTCGGGCACATCTAGTTTTAATTTATATATACTTAAATTTATTTAATTTTTTATAAACTTTTATTCGAATATATTTTTATTTCACTGTATGAAAAATATTATTTATTCTATTGCTCTTCGTTTCTAGTTTTCTCATTTTGTGTACGGTTGAGTCAAATAAGAATTATATTTGAGAAACAATAATGTTTACCTAAGAAAAAGATGCTCTTTCCGTCGGTGTGAATTACGTCCACTAATCGAGCGTCTGTGGGATCTAGACGAAGATGGTTAGGCATTCCTTGAAAGTACGGTTCCGCGGGATCCAAACCGGTGATGCGTCCGATATTGCCGCCCAATTTTTCACCCGCATAACCAGCCGTGTGAGCACCGAGGCTGTGTCCAATCAAGTGCACATCGTTCGGATTCATGCCGTAGTTTGTCTGACATTTCATAAAAATAAGAAAAGAGAAAATTGATTTTTTTTTTCTTCATATTAGACAGTATCACGAATTTTTGCAAATATCGTTAATTTATTAATATTGCAATCATATGGAGAAAGAGTGAAAGAGAGAGAAAGAAAAAACACAATATCTTACATTTTTTTAAATATTACGTTCTTGGTATTTAATTTCACAGTTGTGTTGAAAATATATCAAGTTACCTAAAAAGAAATATATAAATCTAATTTAGCGTGCGTTTCTTACTTGCAAATGCTTAATGAGATGAGCTAACTCGAGCCCAACTAATCTCGTATTCGCTGTCGCTTGGGTGTACAAAGGTAAGCTCCCGCCTGCCCAATCGACCACGATAACGTTGTAATTGCCATGCACTAACAATTCGCTCCTCATCTCCTGCGGGTGATCCATATTTCGAGAATAAATGCGGGTATAATTTTCGCCAATTGCTTAAGAGCTATCTAGGATATTGGATATAACTATGTCATCAGGTCGCATAAATTTATTTGCAACAGTAATGCAATGTGTGTGGCAGAAAAATGCGTTTCTTTAGCAATTTAATCCAGCAGCTCGCGATGGATGATGTGATAATAAACCGAAGATGTATATGTGATTAATACTGTACGAAATATTTGATTGCAGCACGTAATGCAAGATTTCAATAAAAAATCCGGGATAAATAATTATATATAAATAAAATAACGAGCGAGATATACATATATATATATAAATAAAGTAAACTTACCTTGACCCAATTGCTGAGTGGCGTGTCTATAAAACCGTGTATAATGAATTTGGTTTTTCGCTTAGGATTGAAGTTGGAGTTTTCGATGGATTTATCCTTAGCTACTTTTAATATTTGACCCTGAAAGAATCAAAACAAGTTGTTATTGAGTAATTCGATAGTCTATTAAAAAGTAGAATCGATCATTCAAGGTATTTAAGAAGCTTGTTTAGAAAAATAAGATTGCCTTTCGAAATATTTGTTTTCAAAATGACGTATATAAATTTCGTTTTTATTAGTCTACTGCGCTAATAATAACACGAATTATTCCCAACTTTTTAGATGCATGTATCATCAAGCAAAAAGTGTTAATAAAAGAATTTCTTTTTTTTCCATGATATCATGAATTTCTGCAAATGCATTTATTAATCGCTTTGTTGCCGCGTATATTAATCATAAAGTATTTTAATATTTGACCCTGAAAGAATCGAAACGGGTTATTATTGAGTCCTTCGTAATTCGATAGTCTATTAAAAAGTAGAATCGATCATTCAAGGCATTCAATAAGTTTGTTCAGAAAAATAAAATTGCCTTTCGAAATATTTGTTTTTAAAATGATGTATATAAATTTCGTTTTTATTAGTCTACTGCGATAATACGTTAATAATAACACGAATTATTCCAAATCTTTAGATGCATATATCATCAAGCAAAAAATGATAATAAGAATTTTTTTATCAAATTTATTTTATCAAAAAGTATTGTGTATATAATATATATATATATAATTTACAAAAGTATTTCTTTCAATTTCATGATTCAGCGATTTTATGCGGGTATAGATACGTTATGCGACAAAGGTGTGCGTGTTTTCACTGCCGCTGATATCGTATTCGATACTTATCTCACAGCGGGCTTCCTTCTAGAATATCCATTAAATTACAAATCAGAGATTTTATCTTTTACGGATATGTATACAAAAAATAACGAACTGCACTCGCACTCGCGCCCCGCGGAGCGCGTCACGCGTTCGCCAGCTGCATAATTTTGTTTAATTAATTGAGTTAATTAAGATATCTCCACGGGGATTAAGCACCGACGTCTCGCTGGCCGCTCGCGATCGAACGGGCACGATAAGACCGGATATTTGTTTCTCTCTCTTTCTCAGAAGGGAA